TCACCGGCGTGTGGCTTAAGTACGGCTGAGCGGACGGGAAGCCCTGTTTTCCACACCCTGTGGTCGTATGTACTGGATTGTAGTTTGCTTGAATCTATATGGAGATTTATTTCTTGAAAAAAAAGCACCAGAAATAACCCGGAACGAGTCTTATTGGGCTGAGTATGTAGATTTGCTTTAGCGCTGGAATAACAGAGCTTATATTCAAGGTTTAAGAATGTACATGAAGCTTCCATCTCAAGCAATAATACAGATGCCCTTCTTCTCTCATTGAGAGATCATTTGATCACAGCCGGGTAAATCATTCCAGACAGAATTCCGCGGAAACCGAGGTGAGAATATGTACAACTCATGATCGATGTCAATTGATTGACCGATGTCAGACTTATTTCTGGCCGTTGCAAGCGGCCTTGTCAGCGGCACACTGAGCCTGGTTGGCGTCGGGACCGCTGCGGCAGGTGTCGAAGGCATCGGAGCAGCATTGGGCGTGGTCAGCCGCGCACTGAGCCTGGTTGGCATCAGCACCGACACGGCAGGAGTTGAACTCCTTCTGGCACTGAGCGTTGGTAGTGGCCAGGGAAACGGTGGCAAGAGCCAGAGTGAAGAGGGCGGAGAGGCGGACCATTGTGAGGGTTGAGAGGTGGTTTGAAGGTAGCTTGGATAAGAGTGTTTGATGCTTTCAACTACGGAAGAAGCAAAGGCCTTTTAAAGCTTCAGGACGAGCATCGATGACGACGGCATTTTGGCGGTAAGTCCAGGGGTTGCTTAAGTGGGGGAAGATCGTCTGAATCATTGTCTCTCAATTCTCCAAAAATAAGTCACTGAGGTCTGTATACATTACACGCGTGTGCTGGCGCAGCGTCGCATTCAATATCAATGCTTGAAGGAGATCGACTGAAACACTGTCTTTTTGAGAGATGACCTGGAATCTAGCAAAATTGGGGACTCGGAGTATATACTCATACGAGTATGTTCTCCGTAAATGTTGATCTGCCTTATCCAGGTGGTCAAGAATGATCCATATCTGGTATACTATACTATACATAGTACTGGGGTAGAGCCTCGATGTCAGGACATCATTATATACCTAGCTAGTGCTTATTTCAGACGTCAACGAACACTGAAGACGGCAAAATATCCATCTACGGCACCGTATAGTCCTTGGGTCATCGTAATCGGCTCGTGTCGATAAAATTGCTTTTCAAAGAAGTGCGACATTCTCGCGACGCCCATACACCCTTCGGGAAGCATCCGCCTACTCCCCGAAGGGTGTGGAATATTACCAGTAGTACTAGTAAAAAAGCAGGATTCCGATGAATTCAATCAGCCGTCGGCGGAAACGCATGATTCTCCCGAACTCCACACCTTGTCTCCTGGGTCCACTATTGATGATCGTCGTAACTCGAGGTCACTAGTAAGACCCTCTTTATTAAGCGCACAAGGTTTTTCCAGAACCCGCTTCAACGTTTTGGGGCCAAACTAGTAAAATTATAATGTACCGCTACGGATCATGAGTAGCAGTACTATTTGTACTGGTACTATTATTGACCTTCCGAGGTTGACGTTTATCATGACAAACGCAAGATAATACTTATACGGAGTCAGGACCTCTCGTATGCTCTTGCACATTGACTTAGCTGAAACTATAGTATATTAGTATGCAGTGCCTGACTCTGAGACCCGTGGGGTACTCTAAGGTTACATTTGCAGATGACATCGTGCGAAAACCTGCTGGGAAGCATATTTACTAGTAGCTGGACTGCACCATACAACTTTTCAAAGTATCGGCACAGCGGAATTGGTCCGGCTGCAGTACCGACAAGGCCTACAAGCTACGAGGTAGAAAATCTACAACGTATGTACAATTGGGTAGTTCCATGTGGGATGATTGGTTCATAACTGTACTACTAGTAAAATCAACCCGCGCGCTTTGGTAGGCGTGTCAATTCCCACACTTCTGTACAGGGAGTGGATACCCATACATACCCGTGGACATTCCCATACATGCAGTATACGTATTAATGAGTGGCTGTGGGGTGTCCCAACACGGGAGCGAAAGCTTGTGCCCGGGTGCCACCTGGGCAATGTTGAGCGATGTCTGAAAGTACAGTACAAGTACAGTACAGTACTCCGCATAAGCTCAACTCCGTACCTTCCGCCGGGTAAAAGCCACCTTTACCCCTGTTCTTCTCGAGCAACTTTTTGAAATGCTCTGGATTCAGCTTAGCCATGGTACGGAGTCTAACGAACCCATGATGAATTATGGCGGCGATCGATGTGAGGAAGAGAAGACCTCGGGAGCAGTGCTCATGGGTAGCTCCAGAGCTGGGCATCTCTATTTTGTACTCCAGTTTCTCTTCTTCTCTCCTCTCCCGCATGGCCTCGTAGCCCTTTCTCGTTTTCCTTTTATCCTTTTTCTTCTCTTCTTTCCTACATACTAATCATACCTGTCACTCACTCGGTAATCACCAACACGACGTATCTTAATCTAGTCGTCCAAGGCGTTGAGCCTTGGCAGGGCTCCAACAGGAACGATGATCTTGGATAAATGAACTTTCTGGGTTTACTGTAAGCATTCGGCCCTTGCTCTACGACATTTCCTCAATAGTGCGATCGATAAAAATAATGACAAAGAATGTGAAACCCTGCTCATTTCTCCTTGCTCTATTTTCATGATGCGTTGAATGTAATAAGAGATATGATTGGCTTGCCTGGTTTCCTGACGCAACAAGGCAAATACCTATAAAGAACGAAATAATGCAACAAGTGTTTCATTGTTACGTATATAGATAACAAAGGCTTTGAGTGAGTTCTTTGTCTACATCATGTTCTCGAGGAACCTGCCGAGGCCTTTAAGTACGACTAAGTCCACCCCAAAATCGAACTCCATCAACACACCAAACAACTTTGCAACACAATCACTTGACAGCAAAAGGAAGCTAATTAGCCCAGCCACCTCACCATCTCTACTAGGTACCTCTAGCAATTTGAAATCGCCACTATGCCGTGCCCCCACGATGTCGATTTGAACCACCTGGATATCTACGTTGCCATCTGTAAGCCTATGGATAACGGTTGGGTTCATTGGATGTTGATTCTGGTCCACCCCAATGCCAAGCGATGCACATATATCCACAGCACAGGAAGACCGGGCGAGCGCGATCTCACTATTGAGGGAGAGAAGCGCTTTGACAGCTGGAGCATCGAAAAACACAAGTACGTTGCTAGAATCCCTTCCTCTAAGTATAACTCCGTTATTAGGGACGCACACAGGGTCCCACTGCAGAGTTGTCAGCTATATGTTTGCTACCTCATTTTCAGACTTGAAAGGAAGGGACTTATCAGGCCGGGTAAGTTTGAACATTTCATGTATGGCTATCGCCATCGCATGAATGAGGACTATGGCCCTGGTGACGACTATCCCCTCGGTATCAGAATGTGAGCACCAAGAAATGGGTCTTTCGCCTGAGCGTTGGAGCTTCTTGATCATCATCTCATTGATCAATATTTCCTTTGTTTTCAACTATTTCCTTAGACCTTCTTTCATACAACATTCATCCTCTACAAGATGAAATTTCGTTTGATTAAATAGCGCCTTTTGATCGGTTTTTGCCTGCTACTGGGCATTTAAGGTAAAGACTTGTTCCGTAAATAGCGAATATGAATGGATATCCGACAGTGTGAGCGATGAATATTAGTCTTTCCGAGTTGTAGCATGAATCTGTGTCAATGGGTGTCAAGTTTGGACTACAGGGTATGCATAGGTGGATGTCTAGGTATAGAGGGAAGGCGATCACACTCTCTTCTTCCCCTCCACTATAGCTTTCTCCTGGAAGTCCCCTTTCTTTCTCATTCTCTCGCGCAAAGTAGCTTATGAATATTGCTTGTTGTGTCGACGGATTTGTTTTTGTTTTCTCCCTTTTGTTTCTTTCGCCCTTGAGACAGTAGTGCGACGGCCTTGGTATCGCACGTCCAGCCATATCATGGAATTTTGTTCCGTGCTGCAGCCCAAAAGCTTCTACACGCTCTGACCCTTGACCTTACACTCGCTCAAGCCTCTTCGATCGGGAGATTCCGACTGCTGGAGATTTAGATGGTCCAGTCGAACGGATCAGAGTGGGTATGTTCTGTGCCCTGATTGGCTGGGCATGGGCGGGTCGCTCTGGTTCACCTAATCGGGCAAGCGCGCTTTTCCACTATAAGAACCATGTCGAGATGCTTTTTTTCCCCTTCATTTTTCCTGCACTTTGCTACAGAATAAGTTCAAAATGACATTTGTTCAATGCCCCGATACCGTCACCACAGACAGGGGCGGGGTCATTGAGAACAGGCACTTAGTCCATGCGGCCATCGTCGATTCCACCGGCAAACTTCTATTTTCTGTCGGGGACCCAACAAGAATCACATTGGCGCGATCGGCTGCAAAGCCTATCCAGTCACTGGCAATTCTGGAAACTGGCGCATTTGACAAATTCGACTTTGATGATGCAGACTTAGCATTGATGTGCGCTTCACACAGTAGCGAAGAGCAACACATCGCCCGCGCCCGGACAATGCTTCTCAAGGCAAATGCGAATGAAGCTGATATGAGATGCGGTCCGCATACGCCGCTTTCTGGCGCTGTCAATCGCGCATGGATCAAAAGCGATTATGCACCGACTGCTATATGCAGTAATTGCTCGGGCAAGCATGCTGGCATGCTGGCTGGGGCCAAAGCGCTCGGTGCCGAGACTGAAGAGTATCACCTTTCGAGCCATCCGATTCAACTGCAGGTGCGGCGTGTTTTTGAAGAGCTCTGCTATCCGGACGAGAAGAACGTACCCTGGGGGCTTGATGGTTGTAATCTTCCGGCCCCAGCCACATCACTTCGCCTACTGAGCAAGCTCTACGCCACAGTCGCTGCCTCTGCCGATCAGCTTGATAGCGACAACATTGATCAACATACAATCAGTCAGCTCCGCGCCCGCTCGTTGGCTCGAATCTACCGCGCTATGTCACAATTTCCCGAACTTGTCGGCGGCGAAGGTAGGTTTTGTACCGAGCTCATGCGCGCATTCAAAGGAGACCTGATCGGCAAACTTGGCGCTGATGGGTGTTACGGAATCGGTATTCGAGAATCGGAGCAGACCCGAAAGTTGGGGGCGAAGGGGGCTCTGGGAATCGCAGTAAAAATTGAGGATGGGAACGTCGACATGCTATATGCAGCCGTTGTAGAGATCTTGAAGCGGTTGCACATCGGAACGTCAGAAACACATCAGGTCCTCGAGAGCTTCCGATCTCCCAAGATCTGCAACACGGTGGGGGTTGTCACCGGCCATGTGTCCCATTCATTCCGGCTGCGTGCTGAAGTGGGAGCCTGCGAGTGAGACCTGGATCAATTGGAGAAAAATCTCAACGCGGAGTAGACTACTTATGTTTCGAATAATCTTCACGCGGTTTACTTTCAATAATTGGGGATTTTATTTCTTTTGCGATGTTCCAGGGAAGAGCCATAGAAAGTAGGCTAACATGCTAACCTTGGAATCTATACCCGAGTTGGGTGTGGGCACCAGTCGCAGGGGCTCGACCCAAATGGACCCGCCGAGCCTCCCGAGGTCACCCTGCAGCCCTGGGCCCGGGCCCGCCCGAGCACCACTTTTCACAACTCGAGGGCCGGGTCAGGTCAACTGGTGTGCATTGCGGCGGGCGTTTGGCGAGGACTTCTTAGAGACTAGCATCGAAGAAGTGAAGCTCTTACGCAGAATTAGGTATGTTTGGACTTGTTAGAGACCCTGCTGCCCATCTCCAAGGTTGGTTTTCTGTGCTTTCCTTCTTTGGCTCTCAACCTCCCTGTACTCTCAATACAATTCATGCCCACGCGTCTTTCGCGTGTAGCTTTCAATTTGCCGTGGATTTTTTGATTAAAGCCAGCGAAGGAGGCCTAGTGATGTAAGTTTTGAATTAGGCTAGAATTATCCTTGCGATCTATCGCCAATTTTTGACCAAAAAGGGACTGCATGCAGGTACAGTCAGATACGAGAACAGACACGATGTAACCTCCGGAGGTCGCTTTGCATAACTAGCATCGATATATTTTCTTTTTCTTGCTGGGGTCTTCTATAAATCACTCGACCAGGCCCGTCGATTCATCTTCCAACTTCCACAGTTGACAATTTCCTACTTAATTCCCGAAGTCTTCTTTCACACCGAGCTCCTTGAAGATGCAGCTCTCATTTATTCTCTTTGGCGTCACTGCCCTCCTAGCTGCTTCGGTCAGCGCTGCTCCTGCAGTAGCGGGAAAGAGCAACTGCGGCCATGTTTGCTTCGCTAAAGACCACAAATGTCCTAGTGGTCTGGTAAGTCACCGAGCCTTCCAAGGTTCCCTGGTTGTGTGTCTGTGCGGAAATTGATTTGACTAACGTATTCTTTAGCATCTGAAAAGTGTAAGTACATACAAGCAAGTCATCGGTTCTGCTCGTGTCAACGCGTCCTTCGTGCTAATCTCCAGGGCTTGGTAATAGGTCAACGGCCAATGCTACCGGTGTTGTCATTAGCCTTCAACTTGGCAAGGCTTTTTTTCGTGCCTTGTTGCTATCTTTGTTTGGTCAAAGGCTACATGGTGTCATCATTATGAACACCAATAGTATGTTTACATGACTTTTTTGGGAAATATGTAGATTCGCGGACCAAGAATCCAGCCATTGGCAATCACGGTGCAATAATTGTATATAGAGAGGGATACTAGATACTTTTTCTGCACTGGAATTGATCTATGATGAATATTCGCCAAGGTGATATGGTGATACCTAGGTAAAGCGCTATCTTTGAAACGGACATGCAAAAAGCTCACCTGGGCACTGACCATAACATAGAGGGGAAAGGCTCCACCTTTGTCCCGGAAGTCTTTCTCTACTACTCCGCAATACGCAGATCGTTGGTCATTCTTCAAGCCGGAAGATATCGATTCTTAGTTTAATTATCACTTCCAAAGTTATTATCTGACAGAACAAGGCCTGATTATTCATCAATTCGCACTGATGGTTGAGTGGTACAATACCTCTCTTCCATGTTCGGTGATTCAATCATCAGCAGGTTAAGAGGTGGCCGGGGTTCGATTCCCCGTCAGTGCATATTTTTGTGCATTTGAATTTTTTTTCCCAATTCGAAAGCAGCGTGGCTTCACATATAATCATTTATCTTCATGCTTGACTTGGATCGCTGAAGCGTCTTGACTATAGCAACCTTGAACTGAATATCGAGTGCTAAAGCTATTTCTTATGTATGAATTCAGGCCACTGCGGGCAATCGCCATTTTTGACTTACCATACCTAGGTAACTACTCTACGTAAGTAGTAGTAGTAGTTGATCGATCTGTGGGGGATACATAGGGCCTGGGATATCCTTACCTACCTACCTAGGTAGGTAGGTATGGTTCTGAGGTATAACTGCTTCCAAGGTCTCAAATGAGTTGGTTGGCTTGTTGCTCCGTTCTCCGTGCCTTGTTCAAAAATTAGCTTTGGATGTTGCGACCATGGAGTGATATATATCCATCCGCAACTTTAAACTCTCCTTCACTTCCTGTACCTCATCCATGGATCTATTCCGAGACCATCAGGACCTCTTTGGTACCCACGGGAGGATAAATTACTTTCTACTCCGACACTTCTTTCCATTTTAGGTCCTGAGGTCTTACAGGGGTGCTTTTCGTATGTGTTTTCTGGTTAGCTGCTTGGAATCCCGAGGTCATCTATTGATGTGTTATCCAAAAAGTCGACATAGACCTGCAAAATGCCACGGAATCCATGAACTAGCACTGATGGTTGAGTGGTACAATACCTCTCTTCCATGTTTACGATTCCCATCGTTGACAGGTTAAGAGGTGGCCGGGGTTCGATTCCCCGTCAGTGCATTCTTTTTTGCACCCCGACATTTTGCTCCCCCAGCGGTCGCTCCACATCCAGAAGTCGACCAATCTAAGCACACTGCATGTGGTCTGTCTAAACCCGGAAATTGGAACAAGAACTACACCTGGACAAGCGCCATGCTTGCCGGGGCCCAGGGAGGAATGGTCTATGGGGTTTCTGGGCATCTTCAAGGTTCGACCTTAAAAAGGCTTTGAACTGCCATTCCGAGGTTTGCGCAATATCCTGGCTGAACTTGTAACTGGCCTTGTCTTTGAAGGTCTTGAATGCTGATTGTTCTCGCCTTTGTCATTCTCATAGGTACCTAGGTACCTTGTGCATTTATATGAGCCTTTGTCCAGATGTGTTCCGTTTCAAGGTTTTTTCATCGTCTCCGCCTATCCCCTTTGAAAGAGATCTCTTTGAGGTATTCCCCGATGCCAATCATTCACCTCGGCAGCTATTCAAGAACGCGGGGAAAATGTATATATTGTCCGCACCCCCAGTGGCCCAACCTTTGAAAAGACTTCATCTCACCTGAGTAACAGTATAATCTTCAACATGGGCTACTTTCGCCATCGTCATTCTTGCGCCGGAAATTGCTCTGGGCGTTGTCGTGTGGACACCCGACGGAATCGAGATGAGACTGACCCAGCACAGGCTAAGCTACCCGTAAATCTACAATCTGTATCCCCACCTCCCCTTAACTTCAGTGCCACCGACCGCCCAGAAAGCTATATTCGCCGCCGACCATCCTCATCCCAACAACAAACTCCCCATCACCGAAGCGAATCTCGCTACCGAAATCCTCGACAGGAACTCCCGCGCTGCTCCCCTGAGCCTCCGAGGCACGTCTTGTCTTCTAGTGACCGCCACACAGACCTCCCAAGTTCGCGGGACTCTCGGCACCCTCGACGCCAGGAATTCCCAGATAGCAACGTTCCAGACCCCCGGAGCCTTCCCGACTCCCACCGAGACCCACGAGATTCTCGAAGCTCTGGTCCCCGCCACTCGGGCACATCCTCGAATTATAACGTCTTCCCCGGGGTTTCCGGGAACAGCGTACCACTGCGCGCATCCCCCCGAGAGAAACAACACTCCCATTCTTCCCTCGTACCTTTTTACCAATCTACCCGCCAGTCAAACCGCCATTTTGCACCCGGTCTCGGTGAGTATTTGTCCACTTATCCTGCTCATTATGTGCATGGGGAGATCCAGATGGTCGGAGCTCAGTGGCAAAGATGGATCGAGGACCCCAACGCCCCTGGCTGCAGAGTTACACTCCGACGATTTCCCTTTGACTTGCTGGATTTAGTCAACAGGACAGACGCTAGATCTCGATGGAAAGCCATAAGAAACTCCTTCTGTGATCCCCCTGATATGCTTACGCCAGAATTAAACAGTTTAGGCTTACCAACGAGAGATAACCAATATCGGACACTTTTGCTTCATGGACCCCCAACCCAACTAGGCGAGGAACGCAATCTATACACACACTGTACGTCGCAGGGTGTGATTATCGTTCAAGACACCACAAGAAATAACGGGCCCCATTGGAACGAAATCGCTGCTGGGCAGTACGAGATGGACTATCGCATCGAATCACTCCGCCATATCTACTTCACTGACGTGATGAACCGAAATGTTCTCGAGTTTGTTTTAGAGCGACTTTATCACCCTATCCTCCGAGTGCCGTGGACCGAATGGAACCCTATTGGGGATATGCCACGGAATTGGGAGTACGGTACTCCTGAATACCAAGGCATGATGGGGACCACCTTCGGAAAAGCCGTGGCTGCTCTTCTAATTTCGGTCTTCCCTAGAGGTTCCTTTAGAGTTGCCCGAGTCGCCACTTGGAAGGACTACAATCTTCATGTGCGATTTGATACTGAGAGTACTGAGAATGAGGAAAGCTCATAATTCTAGGACCATAGACCTGCCTATGAAGGTCGAAGATGGCTTGGATAGCTATCTAGACTGCCAAGGAATTATATTACCCCCCCCCCCACAAAACGTTGATGCATCTTTTTTAACTTGTTTAATGGCTTACCGAGTTCCTTACCAGCTGATGAAATAGCTTGAAAGATAGAATGAAATTGAAATGAACAGAGTAAATCATACATTCTAAGTTAAGAAGGAGCATATCCTCACACCCGGTGAAAGATTCGGCTTACAATCACGCGGGTACTTGAATCATTGCTGAGTCCGGCCAATGATCTGTATTTTGTGGTAGCGTAGGCTTCTCCGGCCCTCACTAGTCTATGTCACCGAGAGAGGTGCAATGTGTAGTTGGATAGCTTTTGGAAATTTTTCATAGCTCGAACCCAAGCTTAAGGCATTGCATGGTTGGGTATGGATAAATATTCGATCGAATCCTTCAGTTTGAGACCTTTTAAGATCTCCAAGGTTTGCTTGGCGCCTGCTATTGAATGATCAGAATGTGATAAAATTCACAAACGAAGCATTCGAATAGCCGTGAGAACAAGAATCAGATAGATTGTCTGTAATCCCGATGCTCCATTTAACAATAAGCTAAGCTGTGAATTCCCACCTGGGCATGAGCCGGGCGAATTGATAACACTTGAACTCTTTAAGTACCCTTGAACCATGAAAACGATTTGCGGTAAATGGATTTTTAGAAAAAAAATGGACTAGCTCTTCTTCAAGCCATAATTTTTTCAAGAAAACTTTTCGTGTTAAATATCCCTGGGCGGTGCCAGAGGAAAGTTGTACGCGAAGGAATCCCCCTAGACAGTCATTTGCAAACGATGCCTTCTGCCTCTTCATAATTGCATCTTGTTATTTGAAAAAGGGTATCTGACATAGCTTCCTGTGACTGTGAAAAACACAGGATAGACAGCATCCCAAGGCCTACGGGTGTTAAATGCCAACTAGTCAGCGATATACCTAGCTCCAGTGAGAATTTTCTCTTTTGTGAATTTTCGACTTGAAGTGCTGTAGAATCTTTGAATTATTTATTCGATTTCTACAGAGCAGATCGATAGACCTACTTTGCGGAATTGAAGTCGGGGACACTTCTCTAGATGAGAACAACTAGAAATAGTAGCGCAAAGGAGTAGAAAGAAGTCTTGCTCATTCGGCTTTGCGATCAAAGGACCCAATTATTGCGTTGTCCTACCATTCTTTGATAAAATTACTAGAATACCATGCAACTGAAGCCAATTATTACGGATGCTGTCTTTGTACTCGAATTTGAAAGAAGTACTCGAGTATTGGATTGTTCACTCCCGAGGTCGGCTTTGTGAAAAAACTACCCGAATATCGCATTGTCTACATAACCTTTGATAGAATCATTCAAAGATCATATAGACAAAGCTGAGTTATTGGATACATTGCCTTTGTACCCGGAGTCTGAAAGAAGACCTCGAGTACTTAAATGCTATCAAAGTCCACCTCTTGCATCCATCACACAATCCAATCCACTACAACAATCCAATTCACTACAACAATCCAATTCACTACAACAATCCAGCCTCCTACAGCAACAAACCGCACCTAAATCTTCCAAGATGCCCCGCACCTCCATAAGGCTCAGAGCGGATATGACCCAAAACACCAAAAACTTGCAAGGAATCTGGCGCCCCCTCAACCTGCACAATGGTACCCAGCAGGATTTGGCCGATCGCCAGGCTGTTATCAGTGTCATCCGAGATGTCTACGATCCTATGCTAACTCAGTATCTTGCAGCAGGTAATCTTTGGACACGCCAATTTCTGGATCGAGCTCCCCGGGAACTTTTCCGGCAACTGGTTGCCCTTCAATTGGACAGTCTCCCAGGATCAGTGCGTCATATTGAGGAGGATGCAGTCCTTACCTGGATTCTGTATGACCTTCTGAGATTTTACCGTTTCACTGATGTAGCCTGGCGGACGCCCCGCGCACCCGCGAAGGCACCCGCGAAGGCACCCGCGGAGGCCCCAGCCAACGCCCCCACAGCAGCACCTGCCAAAGCCAAGCGTGGGCTTGCAACTCGTACCATGCCTGCTCCAGTAGTCGCACCTGCCAAAGCCAAGGGGATGCTTGCCACTCGTACCCTACCCGCCCCAGTAGCCGCACCTGCAGTTGCTGCTACAAACCCTTTGAATACAGTGAAAGCGGCCGTGAAAGCTCTCGTAAAAGCAGTGGTCCCAGATCCCGCCCTAACCCTCCCACCCATGCTCGCAGACTCACCACCCCCAGGTCCCCTCCCCAAGATTGCTCCCAAAGGACCTGGTGCATCTACCACGTACGCTGCCAAAAAGCGACGTAGATCCGAGAGCGACGACTCCGAGACCGAGGAACCAGCGCGAAAGCGTCCTGATGTCGCAAAGACACCCGCGGCCGTGAAATTAGCTCCCAGTGTTAAGCGACCTCGATCTGGAAGCGATGATGGTGAGGCCGAGGGCCCTGCGCGAAGGCGTCAGGGTGGACCCCGGGCTAATTAAGTCCGGTTCGAGTTGCTCGTCCGGAGAAGTGAGGTGAGTCTGAACTAGTTCAGATGTCGCGCTTCCTACCTAGCTTGTCATCTTAGCATATGTACTACCTCTAGTGGTCCAGGGCTGCTTTTTTCTCCTTCAAGTTTTGCCAGTTAATTAGATATCAAATTGAATCATTTGCTTTTTTTAAAGAATTTTTAGACTAAACTATAGTCCTTTTGGCAAAGACTTGAGATAAAGAGTCTAATGTAGCAAAGTGAAGCACGAATAACCTATCAGATCTCGTACCTTTTCCCTCTCTACCAGCCCATTCTTTTCTAATTGTACGATTCTCTGTCTCTTGGTAGCCCCCTGTGAGATTCAATCATGCGGGCTAGTAGATAGCTGTCAAGATGTCCTAAGTACTCTCTAAGTTCTGACCCTTAAAGTTCTCAAAATTGTTACATGGTAAGTTGATATTTGTAAGAGTGGACTAGTGTGGATCTGGACTCGACGCAATGGTCATGATTGCCACTCATTTTATAGCTCACCTGGAAGTCTACGACACAGTAGCTCAGATCCAAGTCTCACACTGTCTATGTTTACATACTAGCATTCTTCAGTGTACACATTAGTGCGCGTACTTTGACACTCAGAAACCCTCCGGTGGGGGTGTGGGCTCCCGTCGGGACTTCGGGTTATGTCCGGGGGCCCACCGCGGCTAAAGATCCACCAATTTGACAGCTTCTAAGGTTGCGTTCATAGCGATACTTTTCATTATGCTTTGTCAAAGTTGAATATAAATCGAAAATTCCAGATAAATACGCAGTAGATACTCCCAACATAGCCATAGAAGCAATACATCTCCACGAGGATAGTCGGCAAATGGTCATTTTCGCTCGGATGGTTTGTGCCAGACTATCTACACTAATAGTTTAGCTTCCGGGCAAAGGCTAGTGTTAGCTGGCCACAGGGAGCGAATCGCTCTTTTCCGCCCCCCTCCACTCTGACCCGGGAGGGTTCTTCAAACATCCGATGCTTGTCCTAGTGGTTAGATCTAACCTTGAGGCCGTCAGCGATTTGGGGGCCAGTTTGAAATGCCGATTCGGGGCCTCGAGTATTGGAAGGGGCAAAACGACCTCGAACATGAAACTTAGTCCTCGTTTATAATACTATTGTTCTCCGACCTGAGATCCATTTCTGAACTTCAGTATATTTCACCCAGGCAATCCGATTTATTGCAGAGCTATGGCATCAACAAACACCTCCTCGGTCGCCAACTTGCGCGAGAAGTATGATTATATCATTGTTGGAGGCGGCACATCCGGCTTGGTAGTCGCCAGCAGATTGAGCGAGGACCCCACCATCAGTGTACTCGTTCTTGAAGCGGGTAGCAATCGCATTGATGATCCACGGATTGCGGCGCCTGGTCTTGCACCAAGCACCTTCTCCGATCCTGACTTCGATTGGTGCTTTACTAGCCCGCCCCAGGTAGTCACCCCAAAGCTGTTCACAAGTTCAGCAAGAACGAATAGAAAAAAAGCTGATCAAGGCATGTAGGAGCATTTGAATGGTCGATGTCTTGCCCAACCTCGTGGACGAACTCTTGGTGGCTCATCTGCCATCAACTTGGGCATGGTAATCTACCCAAGCAAGACCGATCTCAACTCATGGGGGGAGCTAGGGAATGAAGGGTGGGACTGGGACGACATCTCACATTATTTGAGGAAGTCACAGACCTTTACACCCCCGTCTGCAGAGACCAGGGAGCAACTTTCTCTCCAGTACATTGACCCTGCTATTCAGGGCACTTCCGGTCCTCTCCAAGTGTCTTTTGGTGATGGGCCATTCCCTGCTTTCAATGCAGCCTGGCCCAAGGTGTTTGAGAACCTGAACCATAAAATCACGGGAGACCCCATGGCTGGTCTGGCAAAGGGTGCATTTTGTAACCCCGGAAGCATTCATCCAACTACGAGAACGCGCAGTCATGCCGCCGTGACGTACTATAACCCTGAAGTTGCCCAAAGGCCCAACTTGAGAGTCATAACTGAGGCTCTGGTTGAGAAGATTGTGCTTGAAAGAGACGAGACAGACGATGTTGTTGCGACTGGGGTTCAGTTCATTGGAAGCGATGGGGCTCAACGAACAGTCGCCGCTAAGCTGGAAGTCATCCTCGCTGCGGGAGCGCTGAAGACACCGCAAATTTTGGAGCTTTCCGGGATCGGAGAGGGGAATCTTCTCCAAAAGAATGGAATTGAGGTCATCGTTGAAAACGAAAATGTAGGCGAAAATGTTCAAGATCACGGCTTTGTTCCATTCAGCTGGGAGGCAGCGGATGGTCAGGTCACGGGTGAGGCACTCCGAGATCCCAATATTGCCATGGCCGCCATGGAAGCTTGGCAGAAGTCAGGCGCAGGACCCCTCGGGCTGTGTCCCATTCATTCGGCGTATGCGACCCTTCCGGAGCTACAGGAAGGCGATCTCGCATCGTTGATCAGAGAACATCTCGATAACAAGACCCTGTCGCCGGGTCTTGCCGCACAATATGATGTTCTTCGTCGGCTTTTGGAAGATACGAATGAGCCCTCGGGTCAATACACCATGGCTCCGTTCCAAGCCTTGCCAGAGAAGGGGCCGAGTATGAAGGGAGTTTTTGGAATGACTGAGCCAGAGAATTTCGTCAGCATTGTCGCCGTTTTGAACCGCCCATTCTCTCGTGGTACCATTCATATTAAGTCCGCAAACCCCAAAGCAAACTCGGTCTTCGACCCGCGTTTCTTCTCGCATCCGCTAGATATGGAGTTGCATGCTCGCCACGTTCGCTGGCTGGAGACACTCGCTTGGACTGAACCAATGGCGTCTCTCCTCAAGCCAGGGGGTCGGCGTTTGCACAGTTCCTCCAAGGACACGACCCTGGATGAGGCACGTGAGCTTGTCCGAGATCGCTTCCTGGTTCATTACCATGTTGCTGGATCCACTGCCATGATGCCCCGCGACAAAGGGGGTGTGGTGGATTCCAAACTGAAGGTGTATGGCACGGCCAACTTGCGTGTGGTCGATTCAGGCATCTTCCCTCTCATTCCCCGTGGCAACATCCAAACGACGGTTTATGCGGTTGCGGAGAAGGCGGCCGATATCATTGCCGATGCAAGAAGCAAGGCACCGGTCTCTCGATCACCTGCATCTGAGAGTAGGAGAGTCAGTAAGCTGGTTTGAAGTTATGTTCAAATTCCCATCTGAAAAACTGGCCAGTACTAGTCGTATGATGTAAGGATATGAAAATTATGAGGGTTTGGATGCTGGAGGTATCTCCGAGCTGATGAGTTGTATAAAATATTTCGATCTCATGTTGTTTCTTCATTCTTTCCCAATGCCAGACAGTCTGATTCCCTAGAATCGAGACACTAGGGTGTGCAATCATCAATTTCTCGCACTTAAGTTCGCTCTGTATCATGAGCGCCATCCTGCCTTTGTAGACGTCAGATGGCATTCACAGGTAATTCCGGCTGAGGTCCTTCCAGGCTGCTGGGCTAACCAGGGATCTAAGGACACTCATGGCCTGGACCCGATATGTTCTCGGCCCAGCTGATATTCCCGGGGGTGGGGGAATGTCTTCCGTGTATTCCCTTGTCTCCAACCCCAAAGAGACACCCTGGAACAGTGGCGCAGGATGAGGTGGTAATGTATGGTCACCTGCTGAAGCACGGCAAATTGCAAAATCTCAATGAAGATGAATAGATCGCCATTGATGATCGAGTCCATCATCAATTGACCTTGCCACGGATGGGCACCATAGCCTTTCCGGCATATTTGTAGCACACGGTCTTGAGCCGTCGTGAAAGACGACCTGGGGACGAACGCATGGAGATTTTGCGCTGAAGACTGGATGATCCCAAGCTGGGTTTGCGCGCGTCGCCAGCAGGTGCTGTTGCGCAGTGTTCAAGCGTTGGCTCTTGGCGTGATTCCGCCCGTACAGCAGTATCTTCCCTGAAGGTTATATGTGTGGGGGATATGGTGAGGTTCGTCATCGCAGGTTCGAGGTGAGTTTCTACTCTGCTGAGATCCGTCATCGCTGGGTCGATGTGAGTCTCTACTCTGCTGAGATCCGTCATCGCTGGGTCGATGTGAGTCTCTACTCTGCTGAGTGGGATGTCTTCGGGCTCATCAGACGGCAATGAGAGGTTTTGTAGCGCTGCTGTTATTCTGTCATGCATTGCTTGGTCTTGGGTGATGGACGCCGGTGGGGTATCTTCTTTGGTCGTGGCTGTCTGGATTGTAGTCGCGTTAGAGACTCGCGCTTTCTCGTCACTGGGTCCTCGGCTTTCTTCCGGGGCCTGAGCTGTGTTTATCTGCGGTCTCCTTGCGATTTCTTCCAACTCCGAGTCCGATTCAGAACCCTCGGAGTATTCATAGTATTCATCATCCGTTTCTTCTTCGGACTCCTCCCAATCAGAGTCCTCCTCCTCGTCATCGTCAAAATCCCCATTCAGAAGATCTACAAGTCCAGTGCCGGAAGCTTGCTCTGTTTGGTCTTCGGCGAGTTCGACCCCTGGGGTGGCATCGTTATCGGCAGTCGCGTCGCGGAATTCCTTCGCTTTGGTTTCCAGCGCCGCCGTCGCAGCGCCTAGGTCCAGGTATGCCGTTGCAATCTTCTGCATGTGTAGGCTGTGGACCGCGCGATAAGCCTGAGACACGAGCTCCATCACATAATGTGCCGAAGGAGCACTGTCGGGGTGCGCGGCGGCATGGCTGTAAACCTTCGCGCAGTGTAATTCGAAGGTCTGGGCTAGTTGGAATGCATCTTCCAACTTGGAATCATCCAAGATGTGCTCTGGCCAGGAAGCAGTCATGTTGTGTGGTAATTGAGGAGTGGTGGAATCATGACGCGTGAGGTGCAGCTCGACGCGTTAAGTAGCTCCCGCGCTCGGCAAGGGGTCCCATGCAACAAATTCTCCCACATCCGGCGTGATCAAGGACCATAATCGCCAAGGGGTGGCTGCGTCGGGGGTTTGAAATGCCTGTGTATTGGTATGTAGTGATCTAGCGATTAGCGAATGGGTAGGTAGCGATCAGGGTTTTGTCATGATTTACAGGCTTCACATTGTCGAACTCAACTGAACCGCCTCCGAGGTCGTTCCCCATCACACTCTACTTGCGACTCTGGCCTATTCCAGCTTTGATAATTTAATCAAATTCTCGATTCTCCAAAACGGTAGAGCCAAGTTTGGGACCTTGGCAGTCTCCTGTAGATGTCCAGGCGCTAACAAGGGCTGATGTACGTTTATATACACCGTGGACCTTAAAATATATTACGCACTTTTACCTAGTAGTCAACAAACCACCTGGGCAGTTTCCGCGCTACCCAGGACCAACCCTGGAAAAGGATCCTAAAACCACCTACGTATGACCCCGGAGGAGCCGAACATATCCTTTGTAGATTTTGTAGACCAGGTTGATCGCGCTATATTACACACCTGGGCACCCCTACGGAGGAGCGCTCGACATCATCCTCTGAGAATACCTAGATATGCCTTGAAAGCATGTCTGGAGAAACGACCGCGGGAAGGAGAATCATTTTGAATTCTTTCTTATGGGAGAGTAAACGCTATGCCATTGAGCCGCAGTCCTTGCCCAGGTCAATATAGGCAGCGATTCCACATCGGAGTATAAATCAACAAAACAGCCTTTTATTTTATCCAGCACTGATGGTTGAGTGGTACAATACCTCTCTTCCATGTTTGCGATTCTATCGTTGGCAGGTTAAGAGGTGGCCGGGGTTCGATTCCCCGTCAGTGCATTTCTTTTTTGCATTTCTATTTTCTTCTTGTGAAACCATCATCCTGCCTGGGACTGTCACTCGAGCCAATCAACACGGGATTTGCTTGGAGTCAAGTGCCCATGTGGGGTCCCTGGGCAGCTGTCGCGTCACCTTTGATCTCGCAGATTCCTCTCTCTTGACCTTCCAAGGTTAATTAAGCTGGACGACATTTCTACTCGCTGCTCCATGTTCGACAGACCGGATTATCTCCTTGGCTTCGGCCTCCCAAGACGATTGCTGTTATTGGTCTTCATTCATGGCATCAATGGCGAGACTGAATTCCAAGACTTTCCCTTCCTTATCCATCGTGCGATGTCAGACTCACTGGAGCGTTCGCACGTGGTTCGGACTCGCACTCATAACGCCTACAAATCCCACGGCGATTATCAAGGGGCAATATCCAAAGTCCTTGAATGGTAGGCGATATGCTCTATGCTGGCCACCAGAGAAATCCCGAAACTGATACGGTTTTCTTAGCCTTCCGTCGGATGAAGACGATGGCGCAGATGTGATTCTGTTCTGGCATGGTATTGGTGGATTCATTGCCGCCGATGTGGCACTGTCGATCCAGCATAACAACACACAAACAAGACCAATCCTAGGCCTTATCACCTTTGATAGCCCTTTCTTGGGAATAAATCCTCGCGTGCGTGCTGCCAAGGTTGAATCCTTGTTCCAGAAGAAGCAAGCCTCAAGTGACGACCTGCGGGACTTAAGCTCGACCATAGGATTTGAGATTGCTTCTAAAGATCCCAACTTCAAACCTGCTGACGCGCCCTATGATACGCTTGATCCCCAAAAGGAAGACAGCCTTCGATCCCCAAAGGACGATTTGGTGACAGGGACCAAGCGTAAGGCTGAGGCAATGTCCGACGAAAATACCAGGGAAGGTGATTGCCAGGGAAAGTCCGCGCATAGTAGCCTTTCCGGACCTTTGAAACCTGCAAGCGGCGTGAACAACTATTCTGTGCTTCGTCAAAGATACCAAAAATCGAAAGAGCTCGAAATTCTCAAACCCGAGCCTGACGGTGTACGATTTGTCAATTACTATAATTGCCGCATCGGGCGCTCAAAAGCAGAAGGTATTGTTCCTGCCCCAGTCCTCTATTCATGCAATCCTCTGTTTCTAACATTCTACGCCCAAAGGAACAAACAAAAAAATTCGAGCTGATCATATGGTTCCCGGAACCGTGCCACCTGCGCCTTCGAGTTCGGATCAAAGTTTTAAGCCCCAGAAAACCAGGCCCCACACATTTGTAGTTCTGCCCTCTCGCCGGAAAGATGACAATCATCCAAATTGGGTACCGATCACCATGGAGGGATTGGGTAAAGTGACAGCACATCAGTCAATGTTTTCACCTGGACCAAGCTTTAATCACCTTAAGCATGCTGTGATCTCCACGGTAAAGCAATGGATCTAGAACGATGGTATTTAGGATTAATGAAACCCGTTAAAGGCAAGCTTGGAACTAAATATGTTATATTACGATACTCAGTATGTGGTCTTTCAAGTTTGCAATATCAGGTGATGGGTGAGGCTTGAGAGGGTGGATGGTAGAGAAGGGATTCGCGATCTACCGGCGGCACATGCTTGGCCTTCTAGGATTTGATATTACCATGTCCGATAGCTCAGAATCTATCTGTTCTCCAAGACGAAAGCCAAGGGCTAAGGGCCTGGCCTCTGTTTTATTAAAGGGGTTGGCAATGTATAATTGTTTTGAAAACACCCGAATTGGAAAGTGGACCTCCCCAAGACTTGCTGAAGTGTATTTGACGCTGGTAGCCGAGTCAGTCGTATGCGCCGGGATTGGTGATGTAGATGTGAGCCTTGATCATCCGAATCGTCGATACCCCACTGAAGATAACATCAATAGGAGTGTCCATGAAAGGAACCCATAAACGAGCAGGTACTGACCTCGGGACTGATCTTTTCTCGGGGTTATTGCAAGGGCAAGGTAGAGCGAAGTTTGGCAGCAAGAAATGTAGTAGTTGTGGATGGGACTCTCCCAACCTTGCCCAGGTGGAAGGCTGCAGCTGCAGGGCTGCAGGGCTGTCAGCGATACGTGGCGTGGCGCATGCGCTAGCCCTGATTTAGCATAGGCTACTCCCGATCAAGCACAGCAGCCCGCTAGGCCGGATTAGGCGATCAATAGGATCTCCAGGGCTCCAGGGCTGGGGCTTGGCGTGGGCCAGTTTCTTTGTTCTGTTTGCCTACATCCTTTTCTACTTTTCCTCGCTCGCCAACTGAGAAGTTATTGATGCCCTCGATTTTTGTATCTCTTGTGTCATTCATCTACTTCGTTAACATCATGGCTGAAAATCTGACCCGGTATCAGACAACACCTCCGACTGACGTCGTCATTCTTTACGATAGACAGTCCCTCAATGATTTCGTGAAAGAGAACCCGGATGGTTTGCTTCATGCTGAGAATGGTGGATACTACCTGAAAGATATGGAAGAGTCGATCGTTGCTATTGCTTCGGATGGCTTGTGCAACGAGCTGGATGGTCCTTGGACCAGCGCTGCGGCTGCGGCTGATGCTGAGGATGCCGCCGAAAGCAATGCCCTTGATGCAACAGAGAATGATCCCTCATCTGAATCATCTTGAGGGAATAACTCGACAAAGACAGTCCGCACTCTTGGTTACTGAACCGTCTGTACGCGAGATCAGCGTGGTCATTTTCATTACTTTGTCGATTCTTTCTATTGGATCTCACCCCTGACAATGCTGTACATCTTCGCCTTTTGATTTCTGAATGCCCGAAACATCAACGAAGCGACAAATAAGTGACGAAGATTGGAAAATATCACAAACTCGACGATCTGACGAAATGGCGAGCTGACGGCCCCTTGCAGGCTACCTGGATGAAGAGAATTCTGCTACTGTATCTTTCTTAAACCAGCACATGTGATGACAGTACACGAATGGAGATGGAGCTTCGGATCTGTTTTATGCTACCTAGTTAGGCCAAGTTCCATGCTACATGATTTCTAACGGGGCCGGAATTGAGGCTCTTGTATCATCACCTCGACTATACTACCTATGTACATTAGCCTCCTGATTTTGGAGCCACCGTGTAGTTTGTGATCGAAATTGGTCTCTGCATAATATAATGGCATTTGTAGGGGAATCCTATTTTGATTCCACCTTTCCACTTGTTTGACGAAAGCTCTCAAGGTTCCCACCACACATCATGGATTGATGCAAGCGGCTATTTGTAATGCATGTCAGACGAAGATCAGCCCTAAACAGGTGACGAAGTTTGCTAGCGTCATGCAGCAGACCCTGGTACCTGATCACTCAATAAAAGCCGGAATTTCTTTCCACATAATGCAAAATCGCCTTTTGACTGAGATTTACTTGACTCACATGTATATCAAGTTTGTCAATCACTCTTGGGGACCTTCAGCGTGATGGTATCCTTCCAGTAGGATTGGCTGCGCCTGCAGGCCTGCGCAGCAGACCCCAGGCACTAATTCGGGTTTTGATCCTATGGCAATAGTTCCCTGGTAATTTCAACATAGACCGAACTTTGGACTTACATCTCTTCAACTTGGAAGCTGCAGCCCACCTATCCCTCTTTCGAGCTGTATCGTCTGGAAGGAGCCTTGATTGTTGAACTGATCTGCTTTTCAGATCTTGTTTTGACTATAGATTCTCACAGCTGTACGCCGAGGACATTGCGTACAGCGTAATGACTCGTCGAGGGAGTAAACATTCGGAATACTCGGAACCCAAGCAGTTCATGTCATCTATACGCACGATGTATGTAAGATGATGTTTGGTCCTCACTGGCTGAGATCATGCAAGTCACTTAAGTCATGCAAAACCGGGGGGTGCTACTCATACACAGCATTTGAACGATATCTTGGCATGCTTTAAGACATCGCATATGCGAAGATTTGCGGCCAATGTTCGACGCAACTGATCGAACAAATACCACTACGGAGTGGATTCAAGTATTCCTACAATTCAGGTTACTCACTGAAGTGTGGCCAAGGACTCAATATTTGCCGGGCCAAAACTGGTGTATCTCTCGAAGGTGGATTGCCCGCTAGTGAAAAGATTCCTGGCTGCAAAAACTGCGGGGAACCATACCCTGGTTGTTTGAAGCAGATCCTAACCGTTCTCAACTATGCAGACCAGCATGAAATTCCTGAGGCTGATTTTGATTGCCCAGTGCCGAGGATGCAGCCCCATATTCCGGTATTGGATAGCGACATGTTTGACAACAAGAGTGGGATAGAATGGCCTATACGTTCCTGTCTATGATAGAACGCACCAGACGGCGTAGCCAAACTGTCGTGTTATAAGAATGTCCTACCCATCCTGTATCTGCGGCTTTCTTTCATAGCACAGTGAACTTTGCCCGGAGCTCCCCTCAAGAAATCGCAGGTAAATCACTCTTCCTTGATTAAGTGTTCTAATTCCCCATGCTCATCGACCGACAGACATATTGAAGCGCCTCGAGACTTGAGAAATCCTCTTTTTCGAACTTTCATCAGCCTATTCTGAAGGTATGTTGACAAGTATCATGGGCGTGAAGATTTTAAAAGCACGCCCAACTAGGCTGGGCCTGCAGATAACTGACAAAGATTTATACAGCACTTTCCAGATTGTTTACCACTCGCAACATCGAAATGAAGTTCTCTTTCACCTCCCTCGTCTCAATGCTCTTCCTGACGGGCGTTATGGCTGGAAGTCTCAACCGATACCAGGTTTCACCCCCAGCCGAGGCCGCGGTTCTTCAGGACAGAAAAGCCCTCAACGAGTTTGTGAAGTCCAACCCGGATGGCTTTCTTCACTCTGAGAATGGAGGCTACTACCTGAAAGACTTACACGAAGCAGTCGTTGCTATCGCTTCCGATGGCCTATGCAGTGAACTAGATGGTTCTTGGGCCAACGCCGAATCCTCTGTTGAAGATGATGATGTGACTGATGTCACCAAGAGAGAGCTAAACTCCCTCAACGCTCTGAGTAATAAATGCAGTCATCCTCGTTGCTTCAGCCACGCTACCTGCTTGACCTATTCCAACTGCCACGTCTGTGGTAGCCGGAAGAAGTGCATTTAATTCAGAACGTGGTGCTACCTGAGTTTGTGACATGGCTCCGGAAAGCGTTCGTGATTTTTTCATGAATGTATTGAGTTTTAACCAAGTTATATCGATAGCAGAGCTGGGAAGGAAATGATGAGTGTTCATTATGGAAGCATGATTAGCATGAAGGCCAACACGGGTCTGGGATGCTCGATAATCCTCAATGGTCGTGTTGATATTGCATTCCTCGAGGACCTTGGTTCTATCAAACTGCACTTGATTATTTTGCACTTGATTATTCTTAGACTACATGTATTTATCGCTCCCTGCTATCAGTAGCACATCAGTGGCTGATATCCATGGATGCTGCTTCTTGCCCTACTTTAGGTGTGCCATTGAAAGAGAACTTGATTTGCACAAGAACTGATTACCTTAGACTCCGAGGCCAACTAGACACCCCCAGACCTCGGGTCTGATACTTCCGGTCGCTGAATCTGCAAAGTGGGCATTGGACTCAGTTGATTTATGCAGCGAGGCCGATTCTGGGAGCAGCTACACACTGGCCAGGTCAAAGGCATCCCATTTCACATCATTGCAATTGATATGATATCAAGTCCAGCCCCTAGCATAATTTAGGACAGAACAAGCAGTTTCATTGAACACATCTATGAACTTTCGACAAGTACTCATCATATATCTTCTTAGCCCGCCAACCTTGCCGAGGCAGAATGGAGCCCCGAAGATGATGTGTTCTCGTCCAGCGCTCCTCGATGGAAACCGTCATCAGAACTGGCATTCAGCACTTGGACGAATTGTCCTCTTTCGCCCAACCTTATTGGCAAGTGCTAAGTTTCTAGCCTCAAACTCGAGGTCGTCCACGCTGGAAGTTATGCCGATGTAGCCTTCGTTATCCAATGCGAAGAGTGCCTCTTTCACCCAAACTCGACAGGTGATGTTTTCGTTGAATCGAGTAGAATAGGCAAGTGGGATTTGCTCCAGGCGATGAAGCAAAGACTGATGCATAGTAGAGTCTAGAGCTCCTATCTTGAGGGCAACTAGAACTCTTCGAGAGCCGATGACATTCTCGCTGGGTCGCGGGTCAAAGCGCCAGTTAGTGGACCCAGCATCGCTCAGAAGGTCGTAGATATAGCCAGAATCGATGGACTGGTGAAGATAAAGGCCCCAGTGGAAGGTAAATGATTTATCTCCGCGATCCGACAATAGAACATAGAGCCCGTCTATTTCGAAATCGCTATGTGTTGACATTTAACAGGTCTTGATACCTCACTTTCTGATATCAGATGATTTTGTTGAGATGCTGGGAATGGGAAACCGAGCGGCTTCATCACACAGCTTCATGCGCATTTGTATGCGGGGTACACTGGCCGTTGCACCCCTGTCGATGATGAAGATGGCTCTGGCATACCAAATTTAGGTAAGTCATTGGGTCAAATTAAAAATTGGAAAATAAACTAATGTTGAGCGAAGAGAACAAGAGCGTTTGAAAGCGATCAGAACGGATCCTGCGCTTGTAAATTGAAACTGACTGGCTGGTACGCTGATAATTCCAAGGTCATGTCTGTTTTGTCTCTCTTCACCAACTGACCAACTCACCAGATCACCCCGGGACCAACACCAGCTCACCGGCTCATCAATAAACCAACTAATATCACCAATTCACCAACCGACCAGCTCACTGCTGAACCTCATCAGCTCACCAACTCACCAGCTCATCAACTCACCAACTGACCAACTCACCAGCTCATTAATAGCTCACCAGCCAACCAACTAAGCCACCAATCACCATATGATCAACCATATCCACAGTATCTCTCCATAGGCTTCCCAGAAGCTAAGCACAGCCAGTATCCAGAAATATTTGTCACCTAGGGTGGCCCGGTTTGGCTAAACGAACCAGTGCGCCAATGGATTCCCGAATGGATGTATTGTCACCACGTGACTTACCCAACCTCCCCGGGACTTGTTTGTCTTGTACACCTGGGCATCTCACTGTACTTTGTAATCAATATTGGCTTTTCACCCATCCGCAGCAATGGAAATACGACATATGTATAATGCTACCGTCCGGCTAATTGAATCCGCCCGGCTTACACCGACTGAGCACTTGATCTGGAGAGCCTTTTTGGACCAGGCGGTCAATCCGGAATACGCGGCCCAGTATATCTGGGACAGAATTCATGACGATCCAGGTCGTCCTCTGGAGCAAGTTCTGGATGAATTAAAAGTCGATTGGAAGCAGATTGTCACCAAGTGTTAGTTGAACCCGACGGAATGGGCTCCTGAGGCTCCACTGATCACCAAAACAGTAGCCAAGAGAAACCAGGTTTCTTCCGAGGCACAAATACTAGTCGAGACTCGAGACAACTCACGCTGCTTCATGATACACAAAAGGGGGCCACACCTCATCAAGCCCGCTTGTTTTGATCATGCCTGGGTGATCCCACCAAGCCTTTTTGATGACTATGACATGGACCCGCAGGTGTGTTAATTAGTTGCTCTACGCTATAAATATGAAAACAGAACCTAATGAAAATGGTGCTATTAGGGTGCTTTATATGCCCTTCTGCAAGCCTTCTTGACTCCTACCACAACGTTCGAGCTTCAGACCGAACTGCAGACTACCGTATTGGAATCTCAACTCAGAAACCTACTGTTGCTCTCCCCCAGCGTTCACTCCGCCTTTCGGAATGGCCACATTTGCCTTTTCCCCCCAACTGATACAATGGATCGTTGGACTGATGAGGCCGAGGCCAGGGACAAGACGAAGAGCAAAGTTAGGGTCTGTACCTCTCCTGGGCGAGGCTTACAGAAATAACTTTGACTGACCAATCACTAGTATTTTGTCGACCGATTTACGCCTGAGCCCTGCGGTTCACTCTTCCTCAGTGACGGTAGCCCATGGGACTACGAGATCCAGATGTTCATTATGAACGCCCACGACCCAGAGCTAGCTCTACCAGATCCATTCTTACTTCGAACACATTCACGCCTAGCGGCCTCTTTACATCTATTCCATGTTGAAGAACGAGTTGCTGAAGGATGGCCTTCGCCCAGATTGTGTATGAGACACGGACCCTCTGCTCATGATACTTAAAAGACTAATTTCATTACCGAGAATAGTCTATTTGGGCAACAAAGCCCTGCGAGCTTTACGCCCACTCTGGCATTTTGTACCTAAGGTGATCCGTTCTCAGTGCTACTCTGTGCTCCTGAAGTTAGGAAGCTACCTCTACCCGCGGTCCTCAACTCCCTTCGCGCACCGCTTGCCGTTCGGACTGTACGCGAAGAACTGCCATCGCTCTCCTCGCAACGAAGGAGAGACTTTGCGCTTGCTAGAGCAGTACAACTCGATTCCATCACCTCTTTGGGTAGATGAATATCAGGGAACTGAGCGGATGCTAATTATGACGGCCATGCCCGGACAACCGCTAGATCAAGTCTTCCATAGGCTCTCGTACCCAGAGCGCAAGCAACTGGCCCAAGATCTGAGAAGTGTTGTATTGCAACTACGCTCCATCCCGAATCGGACTTCGCACGTTTTCGCAAACACTTATGGCGGACCACTGAAAAACCATCGCTTCCCCTCCGGGACATGTGGACCATTCAACGATATTTCTGAATTCAATGACTTCCTCGTGCATCGAGCCGTGCAGAATGAAACACGCGAGAAGATTTCGGCCGTCCATGCTCGTCAGTACAGATCTTGTTTTACGCATGCAGACCTTTACCCCACCAACATTCTCATTGATCGCGGAAGACTGTCTGGAATCATAGATTGGGAATGCGCCGGCTTCTACCCAGAGTACTGGGAGTTTACAAAGCTGATATATGGTACTGACATCCTACGAGCATTCGAGCCCATCATCCGCGATGCCTTCGCAGGGGTTGATTACGAGGAAGAGTTGGCAGCTGAGACACTACTTTGGTATGACACACCGTTCGGAGTGTAAATATTTGCAGCAATCTGTTGTATTTTATTTGGAACTAGTTATAATGTTTTCACTTACTACCCACTTTACACCACAACCTTGAACTCCGGGGCCCTCCTACCTTAATGCATACAAGATCCAGGTGATGGCGTCGCTGAAGGAATAGCAAGAGGACTGCATCAATAGTACCTGCGAAAAGCCAAACAACCTCACTGTACCCCCTGCTAAGAACAAGAGCGAGTAAAAGCCTTCAAACCGGCTGACCGTGATCTATGACAAGACAGTGAACCCACGAAGCTTTCCCGAGTACATCCAGTCGTCGAAATTTCGTCGAAAGTCCAAAATCCCACCTCCCCAGGGACTCCGCTTTCGCTCCTCCGCCTCAAGCATTCACACCTCGACTCCTGTTCCATCTGGGTTGACGGTGAAGCCGGGCACGCAACTAGCGAGACCACTAACCCACCGTCCTTTCTCGGTATTTTGCTGAGTGTACTCAATTTCTGCATCTTTGGAAACTTCCAATTTGACCGAGGATGGATCAGTGGCCGCTTCTGTCGTGAGTCATCCGTGCTCTAGGGCACATGACCACGAGGGTTTTCTAGCTCTCAGTTTCCGAGTCCGCAGATCCTTTCTTTTCTTCTCTCCTTAGCTCAGGAACCTCGTGGGACAGCTGTCAAATACTGCGCTGCTAAAGCCAGTTGCGAGAATGAGCACGTCAAGCTCATATTCATTGTCATTGGCAATGACTCCATTTTTAGTGCTGGCAGTAACTACCTTGCCTTGAGTGTCTATGAGGGTCACATTGGGCTTGTTGAAGCTAGGTGAGTATGTGTTGTGGAAACAGGGACGGTTGCAAAGCTGATGTGAGCAGAATGCTCTAACAGCGGGAGATAAGAATAACCCTCAACGTCACACCCATACATGGGCCCAGGAGCGATTCCAGTACCAAGTACCTCCCCAGCCACCGGCCCTATCAATGACGAGCAGATCTTCAGTTTGGATTCCTGCTTCGTGCACAAGGTGATATGCCGATGAGATGCCATGGATACCAACCCGGATCACCAATGTCTTGAGCTTGGATCCCGGAAGCAAGTACTGTACCCAGTTGTTTGTTCCATCGGCATATATGTCTTGATCCGGATCCGCCAACCCTCCCTCTTGTAGGCTCACATACTCCTGCGGTCCGACGGATGCAGTGCCGCCTTTGCCATCCCCCAGAGGTGGCTCTTGGGAGGTACTCGGGAATGTCATTTTCGCTGAACAGCTTGGTATAAAAGATGAAAGTGGATGGAGAAGTCAAAGACGGCGTGGATAGACAGGTCAGCTAGTACTGTGAAAAACATCCCAGAGAGGGTTGTTAATTCCCCCTTTTTCATTCAATTTCCAGAATTGTATGATTGTAACCTCTTGAACGGAGTAAATGGTGTCGATCTCCCGCGCTGGTCTTTGTTGGTGATGTTCTGGGTGGATCTGGGGAACATTGTGGCCAATCTCCAGTAACCGCGCAGAACTTAAGTTGTGAGGACTGGTTCCGCGGTCTCGCGAAGACATTTAGTACCCCAAATTAAGGTCTCGCATGAAGAAATAAGCACAAAGCGTGCCTTAAGCAGTTGTAGCTATACTTGGGTGTAACACGTTGGGCCCCTGGAGAGAAAAAAAATCAGCTCCAGTTGGATCAATAACGACCTGTTGGGGGAGCCAACGCCGCGCGATGGTTCTTGGCATTCCGAAGAGTCCATAGTCAGCAGTGATCTGCTGGTGGCACACTTGGCATTTCCTTTGTGACCCCGAGGCAGTGGATATCATGACATAAGACTTCATTGAGCGATGCTGGAAAGGCCCTGTCTTTTGTTATGACAGCATCCAGACCCCATGGGGTTCGTCGGGAAGGGTGGTCAGTCACCAGAGAGAAAATTAAAAAAGAGAAGACAAGAGTGAAGCAGAAGGAAGCGAGCAAACCCGAGAATCATCACCTGACATTTAGTTTTGACCTCAGGAGACTACCTACCTAAGATGGCATGCTGAGCTGCTAATGCATGCCAACGACTGCCTCCACGGAGTGAAATGATCCCAGAAAAGAATCATACGCGAACGAGCACCCATTCTCTCTATTTTCGACTCCAGATCCCTAGTCATGAAACAATGAGAATCAGAAGAGCGTCATGGATCTCGCGGCAGTGGGAGATCGCGACAGAAAGTATCGCGCGCGACTCCACAAACAGTGCAAACACTAATAGAGTCTTGGCAGGTTTTGATGGTGGCTGGACTTCGAGCTTGCCCAGGTGCAATCACCAGCCCAGATAATCATGGACAGCTTCGCCCCCATATATTCGGAAAAGGAAATGAGTTACGATCGTGCTCATCGTTTCGATCGCCTACCAAAAGCGAGGATCTCTACTTCGTGCACTCAGCCGATTCACAACACTCGCAAATCCCCCCGAAGCCGCGGCGTACTATCCACAAAACCGATGCCAGAACAAAAGAAGCAGGCCCAGAGTGTCTGCTCGTTGGAATAGGTACGGGCTTTTCTCCATCAAGGCGGCGGGCTCGGGCAACATACAGTGAAGATCACGGCTAAAGGCCCAAAAGGAGAATAGACAGTATCTCCGAGAAGAGATCCTTGGCAAGACAAGAGAGTGATTCGGGTATTCCGAAGCGGTGGATGATAATTCCACCCGTGCAAGGCAGCCTAAACGCCCCTATCAGAGGCGAGCGGGTACCCGATCTCTTCACTCACCCTCTTCTTTTCCCCACGGGGAAATTCCCCGCATGCGACGCTAGCGGGTGCGAAAGCAGTAACCCTAACCGCAGGACCGCCGGCATAAAAGCACCATGGGAGTAATTGTTCCTCGCTTCAATTCACTTGCATCATAATCAAGGGCAGGTTTCCTCCAAACGCGACATGCAATTTCCTGTCGCTGTTGCGATGAGCCTGCTGGCTCTCGCGACTCCATTCGTCCAAGCAGTCACAACCGGGAGGTCCGGCATGATCCGTACAGTTGTCACGACGGATATGGAGCAAGACGATCTAGCCTCGCTGATTCGATACCTCTTATATACGAATGAACTCGATACACAAGGCCTCATCTACACCTCGAGCCGCTTCCACTGGGCGGGTGACGGCAATGGTACAAAGTTCTTCATGCCCGATCGCGAATACGACACAGCTCAATGGACATGGCGTTGGACTGGCACTCGATTCATCCAAGATAAAGTTCTCAAGGCGTACGCCGAGGTTTACCCGAACCTGCACTGTCATGATCCGTTCTACCCAACACCCGAGGAGCTCTTGTCGATCGTCAAAGTTGGAAATATCGACTTCGAGGGCGAAATGTCCCACGATACAGAAGGAAGCAATCTCATCCGATCACTGTTACTGGATGAAGACCCGCGGCCGCTCTATCTACAAGCGTGGGGTGGCATCAATACCATCGCTCGCGCTTTGAAGTCAATTGAGGAAACTCACTCCAGCTTGGAGAATTGGAGTGAAGTTCAAAAACACCTTTCGAAGAAAGCTGTGATATTGGCTAGCGGCTTTCAGGATAAGGCGTACGATGATTATGTCGCTGTAAAGTGGCCACAGGTACGAGTGGAAAACCTGGAGGCTGGATACAAGACTTGGGGCTACAACTGCGAGAAGGGCCAAGGGAACACCCGCGGTCTGCCTGGTCAAAATGAATACTTCATTGGAGCCTGGATGAAGGAAAATGTTCAAACAGGACCTTACGGCAAGCTCTACCGATCCTGGCTTGATGGCCAGTCCATGCCAGGCGACCAGAATGATATCTTCGGTGATCCCGCAAAAGCAAACTCATCAAAGGCCTTCTGCAAGCCACTAGAGCAATACAGCTTCTTGTCAGAGGGTGACAACGTGGCATTCAACCCACTTGTGACGACCGGAATCCAAGATCCAACAAACCCAAGCCTCGGTGGATGGGGTGGGAGATCGATCAGGAACAGTACCTCGCAAGATCTGTGGACATTGGCCGATAGCGAGATGAGCAAGAATGGCTCCGATGTTGACAACTATACAACGGATCGTTGGATGTCGGCCGCTCAAAATGATTTCGCTGCTCGCATGAAGTGGACGCTAACTGCGGATTATGCCGAGGGAAACCATGCACCCTCAGTCAAGATTCTCAATGAGACCGTCCAGGCCAACGCCGGATCAACGGTGGCGCTAGCAGCCGCAGTGAGCGATCCCGACTCTGACAATGTCACGACATCTTGGTGGCAATTCTTTGAAGAAGGGACATACCCTGGTAGCGTGACTGTGACCGGGGAAGGTAACCACCGAGCAACGGTGAAGATCCCCGAGGATGCAAAGCCCGGTCAGACTCTCTCAATCATTTTGGAGGGTACCGACGATGGTCATGCACCATTGACTCGTTATGGCCGCATTTACATCCAAGTTGTTTAATCATATGTAAATCCCAACGTTTCGATCTTTCCCATTTCCGTACGGTTGATTCCATATTAGCTTCAAGTGAGTCGAGTCAGCTGAAAATCCCTTACGGTCGACTCAAATGATTGGAATCCCTGCATGATCAATTCAGCCAAGCTTTCAGCGATCAGGCCCAGGTCATACCGGAAGAATGTACTGAGAGGTCGCTCGTACAGCCACGAGATATAGCTCATGATTATTTTGGAATGTCTGTGCTGTACTAGACATGACGAGGGTAACAATCTGGCAGAATTCACAAGGTCAGAGTAGCCAAAGGAAGCCATTTTACACACCTGTGCATCCACAGAAATCGGCCCCATGTCATGACCCAACACCATTCAGCGCCAATCATGCATCGAAGCCTCCGGTGAGGTCCGTTGGGCTCTGGATAAGAGTGAGCTTACATGAGTCGACCCTTAGCGATAGGAATATTCGCAGCCGCAGAATGCTTGACATGCAACAGAGAGAATTTTCAAACCAGGCGGGATGACTGCGTCTGAAAGATCACCTCCAATACGGCATACCAATCGCAAGCGTTTTTACTTGTTGGCATTTGCTGTGAAGCAGATGGCGGACTAATCACAAGTGCAGATAGCTGATGGCGCAGGCATAATCTACTGTCGACATGCAAGTGAGAGATATGGGGAAGCCTTTCAGCGTTGCCAAGAGCTAGTAGGATGATGATGAGTCCAAATCAACCGATCGATGGCGCCCAATGTACGCCATGTACACCGCTGTCCTGGCATTTGGGGCTCTCTCGAGGTCTTACTGGTAGCATTCAATATTGAACGAAAGAGCGATATGACACTTTGCGACAATAAAGCAACACCCGACAATGCCAAGAGCGGGTTCATAATCTTGTGTTGTCAATTCCATGTGGGGTAATAGTCCGGACTGCAGCGATCGTCCCATTTAATTTCCACATACAGACTAGTCCGCCAGAGAAACAGTGCTTGGCAGAAGTATGCCAATTCCCCAGAGTCAATCATCAGAAAGGTTTAAAGATACCAATTTGATTCAACTTCGTATACCCACGACGTGGCAGATATTAATCTCACTGCGTCTCGCATCGCATCGCATACGGAGAGGCACAGGAGACCATGGGGTGATGGCCACCTCTAGACCCTTGGCATTGACGGCCAAATCCGAGTATAGAGCTGATTTCTGAGCACAAGATAGGTATAAAAAGCTTGATGAGCCTCGAAAACTAATTTTCACGACCCAGACTAAACATTGATCGAACAACATCTCACAAAAAAAATCAAACCTTCAAGTTTGCTCAAGCCGACAAAAATGCACTTCTTTACTGCCACCACGGCCCTTCTTTCGCTCGTGCTTTCAGTCAAAGCTTTACCATGCGACCAGACAGTTCTTATGAATGACCCAGATGCCAACCAAACGAGGACTTCGGAGCACGTCTTCATCAACCCTACAGCAAATGGGGGGTTGTATCTATGCGAGAATATCGGCTTCCGAGGATACTGTGTTCACTATACAGAGCCATTCGGACGATGCAGTAAGCAGCTCTCTTAGGTGCCTACCTCACTCATAAGCTGACACGGGACAAGTTACAATCACGGACCGCTTCCCCTCTGGAGACCGGGGCGTTTCCGCTGCGGGTGCTGACCGCGGCAGCTGGTGCACCCTTTACTCGTACGTTCCACTCACATTTCGTACACAAAACATACTGACCAGATTGATAACAGCGAGGAGAATTGTCGCGGACAAGAGCTCCAAGTCCATTTCCCAGGTTATGAAAACCTTGTTCCGCTTGGTTGGAATGATAAGGTTCAAAGCTTCAACTGTGCGGCTGAATGAAGATTTTGGAAGAATTTCATTCGCTTCACCCTTGATGTTGAATTCAGCTAAATTAAAAAATCGCACTATTTGAACCTCAGCAATATATTATTTGATCCTCGTCGACTTATGCATGTATTTAACCGCATGGAATACACAGATGGTACTTTTTCTTACTAGGTATGTCCCACCATAAAGCTATTCACCCGTATATAAACTCCGATTGCCACCTAATCCATAGCGTTGAGCCTACCCTCTACCGTATACCTAGGTAACTCTTCTTCTATAGCAATACGGAGTAGTATTCACTTGTATATAAACTCCGATCTATTAATCTTCAAGTTAAGAGTTATCTTTTTGTATGACTCAATCTACTCTAAAGTTGTTGACTTCTATAAACCTTAATACTTCCAACCGACCTCGGAGTTCCTGGCGTTAGATCTCTCTTTTAATATATAGATTTTCCTAGAAGAGAGTGATGTAAAGGACGAGGATAGAAGACAACGAGTGGAATGAGCTATTTGTGTTGTTTGTGGAACCTGCACTGTTTTGTTTCCCCGGACTCTCCAGGGATGGTAATGGTAGTTCACGTACTAGGTAATACTTTTCCAACGTTCTCTATCGTCCACGGTTTCTGACTAAAGCTGGGCTTGTCCCGAGGCCCCGAGACCCCAACGAGGGCATCATTATCATAATAGAACACCACCCGACCCTTGGACATTCGGCCCCTGCGTACCGTGCTGTATGAGAATACGAAGTACAGAGTTGTAAATGCAGGGGAAAGTTGGATCTATCATTTGCTCAGCACTCTTGCCAGATTGGCCTTTTTCAGCCTGTCGAAAGCTGAGACGCAGGCAACTCAATTGTTTACCTCCCGTTCTTCGCGAAGACCCTGAGCCCTGTAGGCAGCGCAGTAATTACGCTGTTGCCTGAAACAGGGCGCACCAACCAGAAATGGCCGGTCTGGTTAAGCTTCGGTTCCCCGGGCACATCCACTCCGCGGGCAAAGCTTGGCCTATACCCCCTTTGCCCAACTATTTTGGAGGCTTACAGAGACTTCCGAGGTTGTACCGAGTATGTATCTTGAAACTCTCTCACAAAGTTCTTTTAGATTCTCCTTGCCATGTTGTAACTAGAAAGCTACCGTGTCATTGTCTACCATGACTGTATAAATGCGATTAGGACGTATATTGCCTTTTCTTAATCAGACCATCAATACCATCGAGGAATTACGGAAATTGAACACGAGAGCCCTGGGCCACATGTAGAGTCAGTAAAGCGCCACCCGGGCACAGTCTCATAGTACAAAAATCAATGCTTGAGACCCCCGGATTGATACTGTCCGGTCGTACTAGACGAGCTCGTCCCTATAAGTACATAGGCAGTCAAACCTCAATTCCTGTCGTACTTTGACTCTCGCAGCCATCTTTCCTTTCCCTTGCACTATTCGAATTCTCGGGATGCACATCTTTGCACTCAAATTCCACACTCTCTGACCATCATCCCGCATTATCGATCAACTCCACCGATCAACTCCTCTCCCTCTCAACTCCTCCCTCTTTCAACTCCTCCATCTCCCAACCATGAAGCTCGACCCACGACACATCCATGATCTATCTCTCAAATCAAAAAAATTCGGGCCCATCTCAGTCCTAGCACCATTCTCAGCCCTCATCATCTCGATCATCCTCATCATCTTCTTCTTGGTCCGTTATTATGTGTTGGAAGGATTCCTCATCGGTCGCCTTTACGGCACAACCTTCACAAGGATGACGGAGCTGAACCGCCGCGGATTCATCAACCACCACATCGCCGGCTTCACGAAAATCCTCATCTTGATCGTCGCGGCATACCCATTCATCAGTGTCACGTTTTGCAAAGGACTATTCCAGACCCCGTTCTCGCCCGGATCGCCAGTCACATTGGGGGACATACTGGTCGTTTCTGCGCAGATGCTGATGGCAATGTACATCTTTGAATTGATATATCGCATCAAGCTCTCGCCCATTGCCGTCTTGCACCACATTGGCACGATCCTGATTGGCCAGACGGCTATTGCGATCAGTTTGAAACCCGCTCGCGAGCAAGATACTTATATTGAGTTTATTCTCTGCACTGCTTGGGGTATTTTCTTGATCTCGGATTGCAAATAGAACTAACCTGACCAGGCGCGTTTGACATTGTTTCCGAATTTTTTCCGCACGTCGCAATCATCTTGTATCGCATTTTTCCTGAGCGTCATCGCTTCCTCAGTCGGGTATTTCTTCTCTGTTGCTTCACGACTGCGACGGGAACTCTGTGTGAAACAATTTTGACAATGTGGCTGTTCGGTAGCCTGTGGAGTAAATGGCGTCTGGCGTTTAAAGTGGTGACTCCCCTTTTACACATTGCATTTTCGGCCGCGCAGATCCACGGAAGTGTTGTTTTTTGGCGGATGCATCGTCTGCAGGAGCGGTATCTAGATGAAGACATTGAGAGCAGTCCCGCCAAGGTTGAACATCCTCTGCATGGAGAAGGGAAGAAATCTGACGATGATAAAATGGCACCCAGTTCAGGGACTGCCCAGGTACACCATATATTGCTCTCGAAAGACCAGAGTATCTCTAGGGTGCATAGCTTCAAAGGCTGTCAAACCTAGATTCAAAGAGTTCGTATGTACAATAATGATGATTCAAGTCCATGCCCAGCAGGCGGATTTGGTGTAAAGGATGTTTCAGCTGGTGGCGCACGCATTCGGGGTTCCCCGAACTACTGAGACGGGTATTTGCAGCTTCAAAATCCACATTTGTTCACCACCGAAGGGCCCACCCGGGCAGCTGCAATTTGTAAATTGAGATGAGTAGGCAATTCAATCATTAACCTGTAATATTCCCAGGTGTAAGTTCAAATGCCAAGCCAAAAATAGCCCTAGGGCAAAATGGCTATGATTCCCGATCGTTCAAACAAACGGCGATTTGAAGCGACGACGAAGTGGCAAACACTGCCATCAACTGCGCCCTGTAAATGAGAAGCAAACAATATAAAAGCCCCCCCTGAATCCTGAATCAAACACCATATGCACACAGTACCTACAATGTCGCAACCCGAACCCTCTCGCAAACGGATCATCCTCTGCTGCGACGGGAGTGGCCAATCAGCCGTCTCAGGCGAAGCCAGCATCCCCTCCAACGTAACCAGACTCTGTCGCGCCATCAACAGCGTCGCAGCCACCGATCGAACATGGCAACAAGTCGTCTGGTACGATTCCGGTGTCGGCACCAACTCCGCCGGTCAAATCCCCGCCAGCAAAGACCTGGAAGGCAACGTGATCGAAGCATACAACTTCTGCGTCTTGAACTGGAACCCAGGGGATCAGATCCTGTGCTTTGGGTTCTCGCGGGGCGCATACACGGCGCGCGCGATCGCAGGCTTGATCTCTGATTTGGGGATCTGCTCCAAGGTCGATATTCAGGATTTTCCGGTCATTTGGAAACTTTACAAGAGTGGGCATCCGGCGGTTACTGGAGAGAGGTTTTATGGGAGTGATGCGTATTTGGAGTGGCAGGATGGAAAGCCTGCGGACCCGCAGCCTGTTGAGAGATTTGGAGAGAGGATTGTGTGGGAGTCTGTTGGTAGGGGGGAGTGGGCGAGACCTGGGTCTAGAGAAGTTGAGGTTGTGGGTGTTTTTGACACTGTTGGGGCCTTGGGATTCCCTGAGGTCTTTGGGTACGAAGTGCCGAAATGGTTGACCTGGACTGATAAGCCAGAGTGGCATAATGTTGGGCTTTCTCCAAGTATGAACTAACCCTACCATCCTTTGCCACAGACTGACCCAATTTTAGATATCAAACATGCCTTTCAGGCACTCGCTCTGGATGAGCACCGCGCCGCATTTACACCGACATTGTTCTATGTGCCAACAGTGGAAAAGACTACACCAGAGGACATTTCCAAACAGCAGAATTTGCACAAAGTGGCTACCAAAACTTGGCTTGACCTGTTGTTGACAGAGAAACCATCCACTGAGGACATCAAGCGTGTGCTGAAATCGAAGAATGAAGCCGCCCGCAAGCTTCTCGACCTAGAAGACAGTCAGAAGGAACGCCCGAAGTTGGTCCAAGTCTGGTTCCCTGGAAACCACATCAACATCGGTGGCGGGTCAACCCTAACCCTAGAGAACAAGGGCAACATGGAAGAAATGTCGAACATCGTCTTTGCTTGGATGTTAGACCAAATCAAAGGATTCGTTTCTTTGAATGACGAAGTCCTACAGAAGGATCAAATTGCGCGCCGTGCCAGACTAGTGAAGATCAACAAGGACCTGCACCGGTATACTGAGCATAATGGACAGCTGCAGAATGAGTCATGGTCCAAGTGGCTCCAGCGAGGTGGTGAGTGGGTTGCTTCGTCGATATTACACCCTCTCACCCCAAGCAATAAGCCGGCATACATGAGTGAGCGCATCTATACATGGGGTCTGGGTGACTTGCCCGACAACTTTGGAATTCTTTATGTTGCCAACGGATCTAGGCCACGCACTCCCGGCCGTTATGCTATTGTGAATGGGCAAAAGCTCGGCGAGACCTTTGAGAGAATTCATCCTGTTGTGGGATATAGGGTTGAACAGACGAAGAATGAAGTGAAGAGCAAGCAATATCGTCCTATCTGGCTTGCTGGAGACAGCTATGAGCGACAAAAGAAAGGTTGCAGCTATGAATATCGACTCAGATACCCTGGGATGTCTTCGCATGAAGTTCTACCAGAATGGCAGATCTCAGCGGATGCCAACTCCTATGAAAGACTGGTGATTGAGGGTGATGCAGCGTATGACTATGTTGATGCTTTGGATGTTGAATTGGGGAGGAAGATCAAAACCTCACGGTCTCGAACTTGGTCAAGGGAACTGATTTCACACACAGGCTAGTTGTCATGAACTTTTGATTTTCCCAGTACGTAGAATTGCATGTAATGATGCTCTTGCAATCTTGTACACTGACAATCCATCAAGAGCATGTGGCGAGTCTCATTGGAGCTGGCGAGCATGTGCAATGCCTGGCGTAGTTAGGGCTGATTTACTGTAGATATTGCAGTTCCAGCATGTAACCACCAGTACCAAACCGTCGGCAACTGGAAGGCGCTGTACCACAACGTACAACACATCCCTTTGCGCTAATCCCTTTCGTCTCATCTATGCATCTCTGGTAGTTAGTATAAGACTGCTGGTTCGTTCGAATATCTTTGGGTCACTCAACTAACTGCAGGCCCTCTTATATCTCATTCTTTTACATGGCTTGGACACTAGTATCTTAAGCCCGTTGTATGCCAAGTTGGAGCTCGCTGCCGACAGAGCACTTATGGATCTGCGGATAGATTAGTATAGCCGTTTCCTGTGAATCTCCCAATTAGGGCCGGGGCTAATTGGCGATTCGGTGTGCCGCAAGCTGCTTTTCCCGCTCAGAATGAATGCAGAGGAGTAAATAGAGAAGTATAGCGCTGCCTACACGGCGCTGTACCGCGATAGGTCGATTGGGAGCGCCGAGACCTGGGATCCTCGCCGGCGACTCGACTCTCCTCTCCAGGGCTTCAGTTCGACTCCCTCCACTCCCTTCTTTCAAACCCACCCAACCCAATCATCTCGACTCATTGATTTTAGACCCTTCGAAGTCTGAGAACAACTTGATGAGCCATCGTGCCTGGGTGTGAGATGAATGACTTGGGTCATTCATCTCACACCCAGGGCTTCTGAGACATCCATGGACCAACCCGCAACGCATGTGAGTAACGAGGAACGATCAACACGATACGATACCAATGAATCTCGAGATCAAGAATAATCGGGGTTTGGAATTCTCTGCTGACTGATTAATGATAATAACAGACGATGCGATATTGACAAAACCGATCGACAGATCAAGGGGGGGTTTTCGCAAGCTCACAGACTCTCAACCTCCACCTCAAGCTCGAACAGCGATCAACTTCATAAACACACACCACCGATCGTCATGTACCAAGTCACAAATTATGGGCACTGCGTCAAGACAGCAGTCCCATCAAACAAATCACAAGATATGGTGACCTGTACCCCATTAACACACTCCCCCTACCGGGTCTCGAATGATGCTGGTCACTGCCTCACCACAGCGATTAGATCAAGCGAGACCAATGAAAAAAGCGAGGCTTCTAGGACGCGCTCTCATGCTGGTTGGCCATGCGTTGCACATTGAGGCCTGCCGTTGGTTAGTGAACCCCATCTTTGATTTGATCCAAGTGAGCGTCAAACTTACCAAAGTCCTCAGACAAACGCTTTTTAGCCCGGCGTCGAGAAAGTCTGCCGTGCATGAGGTTGTCGAATGCCTCCGAGTTATGCAACAGGACATACACCATTGCAGCAACACAAGTCACTCCAATTGAGATACCCCAAACACGAATGACAGTCAGCACAGGGACGCGTTCACCAAAAACTCCAAATGCGGCCATCAAACTTGCCGTCAATTGGACCAAAGAAGCAGCACCCCAGAGTTGCAACGACGGAGCCATGGCATAGAGTGAACGAGAACCAACACCAGAGGCACGGGTGATGAAAATCAACCAGCTCTGAGTCAGCGATATCTCCAAGAACATCACTTCATCACTCAGTCCAGTCGGAACAGGCCCATGGCTCTCAACAATTCCCCCACCTGTGTTGCTCGACAGCATCGTGGTGTACGTGATCGTGCTGCCAATTGCCAACATGAATCCCAGAGCGATTGACTCGCCCCACAGTCTTGGCGTGTTCCATTTCACTGGGCGGGGCGAGTAATTGGCGTTGTCATACGCAATTGTCAAAGTTGCAATGTCTGCAAAAATTGCGAAGAAAACGATCAACCGAAGATCCAAGGTGGCGTTCTTGACCATGATCTGGAACAAGAAAAACAAAATCAGGTGGAAGGAAAGCGCGATGCGATAAACCACGTATGAGTACATGCGGTGGAAAATCTGACGAGCAATCTTGGTCGAATCGATGATGGCAGACAGGCCGGATGCCAAAAACACAATATCTGCAGCAGATCGAGCCGCATCCGACGAACCTTGGACTGCGATACCAGTGTCTGCCTTACCCAAGGAAGGGGCATCATTGACACCGTCACCGGTCATTGCCACCAAATATCCACGAGCCTGTAAGATTTCAACCACGCTGTACTTGTGCTGTGGGAACACTTCGGCGAATCCATCCGCAGCTTCCACAAAGTCCGCAATCTCCGACCCAGACATAGAGCCCGCACCGGTCAGTCCAAGTCGCTCAGCATTGTAAATGTTGGTGCCGAGTCCAAGAGACGCGCATGTTTCTCGGGCAATAGCGACAGAATCTCCGGTGAGCATCTTGAAAGACAGACCCAGGGCTTTGGCTTCGGCGATAGTCTGGGCAGTGTCATGACGAGGAGGGTCAAAAAATGGTACAATTCCCAGCACTTCCCAGTCCTTGCCTTCATACTTGCGAGCAATGCCCAAAGAGCGGTACCCGTGGCTGGCAAATTCCAGGATTTTGGCCTTGTACTCAGCAATGAAGTCGTCGCTGAGAACCGTGTCCATTTGCACCATTTCCAAGACAGCCTTAGGAGCACCCTTGACACAGAGAACTCGGTCACCCCATTCCGTTTTAACAAGTGCAGTGACCTTCTTTGAGACCGAATCAAACGGAGAAAACTCAATCGTTTGGTACATCATGATGGCCGCTTTAACACTCGGGTAATCACGAAGACCCTTGATGAAAACCTTGTCGATGGCATCAATCCCACCCTTCTTTCGATTGGCAGCAAGACAAGCCGTCAACATCAGGTCATATTCCGCACATCCACCAACGAGCCATATCTCTCCCATGGTCAAGACGTTACGTGTGAGAGTGCCTGTTTTGTCCGAACAGATAATCTCCACGCCTGCCAGGGACTCAATAGCCGAGAGCTTCTGAACAATTGCTTTGCGTTTGGCCAGGAAAGATGCACCAACAGCCATGGTCGTGGTGACCACAACCGGGAGTCCAACGGGAACACCGGCCACAACGATCGCCAGGGTCTGCTCCAAGATCTGAACAATTAGGTTGGAGCGATAGAACCCTGCCACCCAAACAGCGAGAATGGTCAAGATAACCAAATACAGAAGGGTACGACCCATTCGACTGAAAACCAGAGTGAAGTGCCCAGGACGTTGCTCAGCCTTCTTCACCAGAGCTGCAGCATTGCCGACGTAGGTGTGGTCACCAACTGCCGTCACAACTGTGAATGCGGAGCCACGTTTCACAACTGAAGTGGCGTAACACGGATCCCCTTTGTCTTTGTCCACTGCGAGAGATTCTCCAGTGATACTGGACTGGTCTACCTGGATGACGCCCATAGGGGAGACAATCGTACCATCAGCCGCAACAATAGATCCCTGGAAACCAAATCAGCATCCCGTTCCACAGGGCTCAGCTCTCAACAACTCACGTCTTCAAGATAAAGAATATCACCGATGACGACATCCTCTGCGGGTATCTCTTGCAGACCTCGGTTGCGAATTACCAACGCTCTGGGGGACAGTGTCTTCTTAAGACTTGCAACGATGTTGACAGCGTGGTACTCTTGGACAAATCCAACTACAGCATTCAAAAACAGCAAACCAGCGATAACACCAAAGTCAATCCAGTCCTGCAAAGCACCGGACAGAATGACAGCAATCTAGTTCACGAACAGACGCGTTAGCACCTCAAAGGTGGATTTCGAAGTCCAACTACAATGCGATTCTGCTTACCTCCATAACAATCTGGATTGGGCCGACAAAGTGCAGCAGGAAACGGACCAAGTGGTTGACCTTGTCCTGGGTCATCACGTTCCGGCCGTAGGTCTTGCGGCGTTCAATCACCTCCTCGTCAGTAAGACCCTTTGAGACATCGGTGTTCATAAGTTCAGCGGGGTAGGGCTTCTCAGCCTCGGCGTAGGAGGTCAACTCGCAATTGGCATCCTCTGTGCCATCTTCGGCAAACAAATCCTCAATGAGGGCAGTCAAAGATTCCTCGGTTTCCTCCTTGGACATACTCGGAAGGCGAGTCTTGTCAGAATCGCCATCAGTCTGCGTCTGTGTTCCAGTCAGCATGCCGTTGCGCCACTTGATATGATTGACATCCAAATCATAACTCACCTTTTCTTCAAGACCTTGAGCAGCCAAGCCAGTGACATTGTCGTCAACACGAGAATCATCGGACTCAGCGGGGTTGTGCCAACAGACGACGGTCTTGATGGTTCTCTTGATCTTTGTCATCAAGGGCAACTGGACCTGAGCTTCGCGGTTTCGAAGTGCTGCAACAACCTCGGACTCATCAATGTCGAGTTTCTCCGTGAACTTGGAGACAACATGAGGATCGCTTGCGTAAGGGTTGTTGCGGAGTTTCTTCCCTGGTTTCAAAGCGGCCATGCGGGCCAAGTTTTCCGAGGACTTCTTCATACCGTGGTACCTGGCCCTCAAAGAGCCATTGGCCTCTGAGTGCTCAGTCTCCAAGCCATCAGAAGCATTTTCATCTTCATCTATGGCAGACAGACGGTGAGCGAGGGTCTGGAAAGGGTAATTTTCGGCAAGAGCCTGAGCATGTTCCAAACCCCCCAGTCCCGGCAGCTCGCTTGGTTTTGCGACCGAAAGATGATCGGGCGGGTGACTGGAAAGAGCCCGCAGGCGTGGATCGTCCGGAGAAATTCCTGGTGGAGGCATGCTGAAAGAAGTTAGTGATGGACCAGGGAGATGTCGCTGCTGCTCGTTCAGACGATCTCAATCAGGGATAGCATGTGTGATCTTGGATCTAAGGGCTGGGAGGGTGGGAAAGATCCCAGGATACACATGCAGAGCTGCCAACTGAACGGGCTTCCACGGATGAATGCTGCAGCGGGGCAAACCGATGCCGATGGAGTTTGACGATCAAGCCACTTACATGAAGGAGTTGATGATGAAAGACTTGTATGAACGTTTTGAAGAATATGAAGGATATGGTGATATCTCGACGCGTGGTGGAGAGATGAAGAAGAAAGAAAGAAAGTGAAGCACACCGAAGGAGCGATCGAAGACACTCCAGGGCAGGGAAACTACGAGCCAGAACGCCACTGAAGCTTAATACGGCCACGCTAAGGAACATCAATTGATGGTCTATGCGAAAATATCGAATTGTCTATGGCATTCGTGTTGAATGGTCATTCGAGCTCTACAGCATCAACCCAGCAACCTCAATGTGATAGCCGCGAGAACCGACGGAGGAGACCAATAGCACGTAGCAGCAATTGCTAAGACTAATGGAAACTGATTTACTGGGAACTTTGCGGACTCCCTAACATTGCAGATTCATGTCCATTGCAATGGCGACTCATTCGCTTGAATGAGCCATCCATTTTCTCCATTGCCTGGAGACTTGGAGCTTCTTCATTCAGCAGAGGACTCTTTTGGGTAATATTCCACCTACTGAATATTCATTCAAAGAGATTTATGCATGAAACTGGCGGAAATTCTAACAGTTGACATTTATAGATCTCCAGTTAGGGCCGGTCACCTGAGAGCCGGATTACATAACAATCCTCACGTCACTGCGCATTCGAACTTGACATTCGCCATTTCAATACATTATCCACAGTACAGTTCATTTCCAATTGCGTTGCATTCATTTCAGGGCTAATTCAACAAATCGAAGTTTCTGCGTTGTTGTTCTTGCTTTCTCAGCGTGGTGTTGCGCGGAGTTACCGGGGAAGAAAAGTCTTAACCCCAAATACCTGGCATTGTCTCTGCATTCCCTGCTTATTCGACTTGTCTTTTTTATCTATCCATTTGATCAGCTCTTCTGGTCTATTTCAGCAGCTCAAAATGGCTCCTGAACTCCCTGGTTTCTATTATGGTGAGTTGCTGGTCCCGCGAGCCCTATATTGCGGCTGCAAAGTTGATACTTCCATGTTCAATGGTGTTGATTGCCCCCATCATTTCTGTCTCTTACGAAGCTGCATCTCTTCTTGGGTCTCCTTCTGATTTCCACCTTTCTTCGTTTCATCTTTGAATCTCCCTCTTTCCCACAGCATCTACTTTCTGCCCCGTCTTTCTTCCTCGCCCTCTTCCTTCCCGTGAATCTACGTGCCTCGAAACACAAGGCCATTCTCTTTCAGCCACAAACACTCTCTCCTCAACACCTCGCAGCAGCAAATCTGCCTGCGGTCTGTCTTTCCTCTGTCCTGTGCTGACTTAGCTCAACAGACGAGGAGAAGAAGAAGTACTTCAAGATTCAGGCGAATCACGAAGCACCAAGAGGTGGAAACTACACTCGAGACGACGTGAAACGCCGCAAATACAACAAAGCCGTGAGTAACCATCCAATACATCCAACCCTGTCCATTTCATCTCATCGTCTTTGCTAACAACACGGAGAAATCCAAACAAGCTGCCAAGATGGCGGCCCGCCAATCAACGGAACGTATCAGGAGATCGTACCTATCAAACCCTTTGTGTCGCGTCTATGAAGAGACCGGATCCATTCATATGTCCCGTGACGAAATCAGGGACAGACGAGCCAGACAATCTGTTCTTAACATGGAATCCGAGCCACTCTACCGTTTCTACTGCCCATCTGAGCATTACAGCGTCGTTGACATCTATCGCGACAGAGACATTGGCACCCTCATACAAGGTAAGTATCTTCCCAATATTGGCTCTTCATTATCTCTAATCCTTGACAGTCGTGAATTATCCATCTGGTGGCGACGCTCGGTAGGCCGAAAATCATCATTGCTTCCGGACCTTTACTGACAAAGGCAGCGTCTGTTATCCCACCATCACCGAAATACCGGGAGGCCAGAGATGGGACTACCAGCGTAATTACCGGGAATGGTCCTTCAGGACACCTAGCCGGGTAACCCACATGTTGTCTGCCATGCAGGGCAACCCACTTACCTTTATTCCCAAGGAGATATTCTCTTCGGCTTTTAACAGAACCAACCACCTTTTGTATGTGCCGGACCTTCAATACTGACATGAATATACTAACAAATCAGCATTGCGTACCAGGACGGTCACGAGATGAGGATAATGACCCAGCGCATCCCACACCCAGACAACGTCGTACTATCACGTATGAACCCCCCCCCCCCCCCCCCCCCCCCCCCCCCCCCCCCCCCCCCCCCCCCCCCCTCCCCCCACCCCCCCCCCACCCACCCCCCCACCCCCCCCCCCCCCCCCCCACACCGCCAC